AGTAAAATCTATTGAAAAAAGAGTAGAATTTATACTCAAGTCTGTAATTAAACATGACTCGGGATTTACTTGAATCTATAGGTATACTAGTGTCGATTTTATGCTCACTAGGTAAATATGCATCGGGTTTATACTTGAGTCTGTAGGAAAACGTGGGTCGGATTTATACATGCGTCTCTAGATAAAATAGGTATGTTTCTACACTAAAATGGCGGCATTGTAGGTGGTAACCTCCTATAAGTATCCGTTAGGACAACGGAGAGCAGAGTCGAACTGGTATCTGCGAGAATAGCGCCCTTCCGATAGCAGCACACACACAAATGTACTGATCTGTGAAGACCGCGCCAATCACTATTACTTCTTTGCTTGTTGTAAAGGTTTCTACAATAAACTTGTTACTATTTATCCATCGTATTTTTCTATCCCATGTTCCTATTAGCAAGGAATATAACACCATCCAAAGTAAGTGACCGGAAAACGATAATTATTTGCAGTGTATAATATGCTTCACAAATTTTGAAAATTAACAGTCTAGCCTAGATGCGGAAACGCAGACTCGGGATGTTTTATATCAGAAATTATTAGTGCGGCCTATATATATGAGTGTCAGTGATGCAATTAAATATGGGCTAGTATCTGCTTCAGCCAAGTAGCCACGTGACTAACAGGGACAAAAAGGGGCCTCTAGTTTGGGTCCCAGATAAAACTAAAATAAAAAGATATGATAACGGAGGAGATTTCTTTATTTTCAGATTTAATTGGGCGCCTTTAAACTAATTTTAACTGTTATTTTATTTTGGTCCCTTCTAACCATAACGGGATTTAGCATTGGCGACTACAATCTTAACAACATATGATACGCAGATGACACAGTACTGATAGCAGATACGGAAATGAAATTACTAAATCTCCTATGGAAGGTAGCGACGGAGAGTGTGAAGAAAGGACTAAGCATAAACTACAAGAAAACAGAATACATGGTCATCAGTAAAAGGATGAAATGCAATTTGGAGGTCAGGAACACTAGAATCAAGAAGACTCGGAAGTTTAAATATCTGGGACGGTAAGTGTGACACTGAGATCTGTAGCTGTATTGGGATGGCCAAGGACGCATTCTAAATGCTAAACAGAGTATTGCAAAACAGAAGGACTTCTTTAGTAACGAAGGAAAGAATACTGAGGTGTTACGGGATATCTGACCTTCATTACAGCAGCGAATGTTGGAGGATTTCCTCAAAAACGAAGAAGAGACTCGAGGCGACAGAGATATTGTTCTACAGTAGGATGCTAAGGATATCATGGACCGAGCGTGTGAGCAACGATGAGGTCTTAGAGGGGATGCAAACAAAACCTCAAAAACTTAACATCAGGAAGAGACAGCTGAAGTTTTGTGGGACATATAATGAGGAAGGAGGGCCTGGAGAATCTGATACTCACGGGTCGAATGGAGAGAAAGAGAGAAAAGTGAAAACAACGCATGACATGCTTAGCGGCCCTAAGCAAATGGATGACACAACGTATTCTGGGAGAGTTGGCAAAGGGAACAAACTTGTTGATAGCAGCAAAGGATAGAAGGAGGTGGAAAGCCATGATCGTCTACGTTCTGAAAGGACACGACACATAGAAAGAAAATAATTCGATTGGGTCTTTAAATTCGATGGGGCGGATTCCAGGGGCATCATTTAGATAATGATGCATATTTATATATAGACACAGGGAAGGGCGGAACATACGTATTGAAATGGCTTGTAAATTCTATTCGTCCAGGAGCATCTTAAGGATGATGACAGTCATTATATTTATATTGGCTGCAGGAGAAGGGATTGTAGTCGGCGGAGTCTGTGTACTTTTTTTGATGATCGTTTCATGCTAGACTTCAATATATGTATATATGTATGTATACAGGGTGTCCATAAAGCATGTGTGCAATTTAAAATACTTAAATATTTTAAATTGCACACATACTTTTCGGACACGCTATATATATATATATATATATATATATATAAATGTGTGTGTGTGTGTGTATTTAGGCAGCAATCTTTCTTTCATGCACATTTCATTGAATAGGGGAGACAAAGTGCTATTATTTAGTCTTTTATATAATTTCTCATGTGATCTAATAATTTCTTTCTTATCAGATGATAAATTATATAAAAACTGTTCGCATGCTCATTTTATGCGTACGTTTTCGGCTATACATTTAGCCATTTTCAAAGTTGAAATATTTTAACTGTTAACTATCAAAATTTCTCGATGTACTATTACCCCATATCTCCCTGGTACTTATAGCATTAAATCTACCCATGAATTCCTCCAAATACTTAAAAGCACAAAAGGTAAAAACAAAGAAAGACATTCTTGCGTCACTTAACGTAGAGAATTTATTTACTAACTTTCCCGTCTCAGAAACTATTGATATTATCATTAATTCGGTGTATAAAAATAATTTAATCCCACCTCCATCAATACAGCCCAAAATTTTAAGAAGACTATTACT